AGTTTGCAAATAATGAAATGATAAATTGGAAGGTGGATCGCATTGTGCATGACTCAGAATCAAATGACTAAGGACCATTGGATTATTGGACGCCAGTATAGGCGAAAATCCATTGTCAGCCCTTTATCTTTTTTTTTTTTTGGCAAAAACTATAGTTAATATGTTAGTTTTATTAGTTGTTAACAACCGAAGATTCGATCCCTAAATCTAATGAACATCCCACTCCCTCAATGAAGCGTGCGGTCCATTTGACCACTTGGTGAAGTTTTGTCAGCCCTTTATCTTATTGATTGTAAAACTATCGATTTCTTACTTTACAATATATGAAATTAGTATTTATCTACCTTACTTTTAAAAAATTTAAAAAATAAAAATCACCTTAATATATATTTTAAAAATAAGATAAGTTAATTTTTTTAATAAAAATTTATTAAAATAACACAATTGTAAGATAATTTTTTTAAACTTTAAAAAATACGATTGATAAACATTATTTTCATAATATATATAAATTTTAACCCCCGCTTCAATATAGAGAAAGAAGCCTAAAATTGACAGCTGAAGATCATGTGCCTCACGTACTCAATAGGATTCCGTTAGCCTTCTGCATGTCAGTGCCTTTTGCCATCTTGGAGCTGCTGATGTGGAAAACATTAAATGACCTAAAGGGCCTCTTCCTATTTCCCATCACCCATTTTGCCCCTTACCCATGACTTTGTTCCATAGCTGCCGCACACTGTCTTTCTTTCTCACACCACCCATGTAGCCTCTTCCTTCGCATTACTCTTCCTCTTTTCCACTTCCTCCTCCTATGTTTCCCCCTTTTCCCTTGGCAAGTTTGCTCCCAATCGATTGCCCACTATGCAGATCTAAGATTGGGCTTATCGAATATCACTCCTTTCCTGTTGACACACCTTGGAGTAATTTTCTCCCAGATTTCACACCAATTTCTGAGGAATGGGGGACCAGCATGGTGGAGACTTTATGTTAGTCGTGAAGATAGAGTTTAAGTTGTTCAATTGTTTGTTACAAGATTTGGAGACACAGATCTGAGTTTTTTTTTTTTTTTTTTGTTATATTTTAATTTTTTAATGTCAATTAATTGGAGATAAATAAATGTTACTCTTGAGAAGATTATTGGATATCAAGAACATTTCTCAAGAATTGTTTTGTCTATTTTTACATGAAAATCCAACCGGAGCTCACCTTCAGCGAAGAAAGAGAAAGCAATGATGAAAAAG